GAGTGTGGCTTGGCAGAAAGAAAGGAGGAGAGGTTTTGGGCCTGTTTCCCGTGTTTTCCATTTCTGCTGGGTTTGTGCAGAAAACGCCCAAAACGGCAGAAATGTCGTTTTGTGTTTTCTTCACATTTTTTTTTCGTTTTCCAAAATCCGTTTCGAAAATGATGAAGAGAACGCGTTTTCGCATTTTTGAAAAATCAAAAACAGAAAACGGGTGAAAAACGCCAAAGAGAACGGCCCCTAATTTCTTGAGAAGCAATATGTAGTCAATAGCTAAAATAATTGACAATGTCATTTCTATCTGTGTCAAAAGCAATTTTCTACATTTCACGATATATTTAGTTTGAAAAACCTTGAAAACTTTATTAATTGATTAATATCTCATAAATAGATGATGGCGTGTCATGAATTTAAATCATTAATCCAATCAAGAGGTGCAAAATCGGATTAGTCAAGCCTGCAACTTAGGCTCGAGATGGGTAAGGGAAGACTCTTATTGATTTTTTTTTCTAATTTTCTTTTCTTTTCTTTTTGGAAAATTACTAGTTACTAGTAAGAAAAAAAAATTAAAAAACTGATTGGTCAACCATGCATGAATTACCTTAGAAGTCATTGGAAATTCAACATTTTATGTATACGTCACATATTTTATCAGGTTCTCCTTTTATGAAAAATCAAATATTCCAAAAAATAACGTGAAGTAAAGCTGGTTCTCAAAAATATTAGTAATTATTGGAGTGAACTAATAATACAATAATCAAAATTAATTCAGTTTTTCCTGAGTTTTCGTTTGATTTTCTTTATAATTAATTATATTGGAAATAATTAACGTTCTTAGCTCATTTATTCAGTTACATCAACAAACTCCGAGAAAATAAATAAATTTAGTAATAAAAAAATTATGAAATGTTATAATTTCCTCTACTTATACAAATTTCATCTTGAAATTTACCCTTCAAAACATCTTTACCGATCGGCATATTCTTTGCTACCTCACTTCAGCTGCACACTCTAATAACATTGTTGGTGTATTGTGTGTATGTTTGCAAATTATAACTGAAACCAAAGCACACAATAAATTAAAATAAAACTTACTTGGAATGAAAACAAAAGTTGCAGAAAAATGAAGAACAAAATGAAGAATGCAAAACCGAGGTAAGCGTTGAACGCTTTGTTTTTAAGACGAATTTGCGCCGCAATGGTAGTTATGGAGTCTGGCAATCATCTTTCAAGATGCAATGGTTTCTTCTTGTAGTAGAAACACTTCAAACTTCGAGGAAACAGTGAACTCAAAACATAATTTCATTTCTACTATTTTGATATTTTTTATGCCAAAAAAAACAATTTTGATGGAATGAATATGATATGGAATGAATTTAGACCATCAACGGTGTCCAATTTATAGAGGTTGAAGGGTTGTGGCCGAAGAGACTTGCCCTAAAATTCAGCATATTTCATGAAGGGACGTAGCCCTTCAGATCGCTCGCTAGCTGTCGGGCGGCCGCTTGAATGGCAATCTTATATAGCCGAATTTTCATTTTTTTTTTCCCTCCTATTTTTGGATAATGATTTATCATTCATCCGGAGTTGTTTTTGAGATTCCAAATATACTATGATCATCTACTCGACGAATAGAACAAGGTGGTTCTATTCATTTGCATGATTTGACTATCAAAACATATCCGAATATTTAACCGAAATTGATACAAAATTAACTTTTATTTGCTTTACTAAATTCCAACACACACATCCTAATTGTGGTCCCTCGACATAGTAGGAATGTCCAATCTATGAAGCTCTCACATAAATACTAGCAAACATTTACCACACATTTAACATAAAGATGTTATAACTTTAAAAGGAGGAGATAATGTCCTCTCTTTACACAACCTTAGCATATGAAAAATCTGTGGTTAATAATACGATGCTAGTAATTTGGGATTATGATGGAATATATTGCAATCTTTATTTGTTTATGAGTACCCATATGAGCATAACGTTCATTGTTTTGCTCGTTGACTCCAATTGTCTTTGGTAGCAATAATGAAGCAAATCATTCAAGTATCACAATTTTTTAGTTATTTTCTGTTATTATCAACTTGTTTCCCTTTTCGAGTAAACAAAATGATCAACTTCGAATATGCAAAGTAGCTAGAATTACAAAAATGATTGCCAGTGTTATAAAAATACGGGTCGTCGGTCACCCATACGGGATGACCCGACCCACAAGTTATTAAAAGGGTTGGAGGGAGTGATTTGAATTT